CACAGACATGGTCAAACTGGACCACAGAAAGCTCTCCTTCCTGGCAAACTGTTTAATCTGTGGTACCAGTTTGGCCAAGATGGCAGGTAAGATCATCGCATCAACAGTCCAACAAAGAGTGCTTGCCACATGGGGCCAATCCACCCCAGGCCTGTCAAAGGAGGTTCCTGGCCCTCTCGCACAGCACAGAGGACTCCATCAAGGCCAGTGTCCAAAGGCAATCAGAGCATTTTCTGGCTTCCAACCACACCTGGTCCTGCTCCCCCTCCTTCTCCCAGACAGAATCTTGGACTCTACCCCGGGGTCCAGCCTGGCTGGGATTGGTGAGCTTCTTCTCCGACCTCGCCCAATGCAGGTCCCTCTCCCTTCCTTGCCATTCGGACGCCATGCCAAGCTTCCCTCTTCTAGCTCCTTTTTAGGGGAGAATGTGAGAGTTCCTCAGGGGCAGGGACTGTCTTGCTTTGCTTATCCCCAACACTCAGCCCAGTGTAAGCACTTAATAAAGGTTTTATCCACCTGTGGGTCTACTCACCATCACCTCAACCCTAGAGTACTGCACCAACCTTTTGGGAGGGCTCCCTGCCTCGTCTCTCCCCACTCCAATCCACCCTCCCACTCAGCTACCAGATGTGACTACCGAGGGCACAGGTCTGACCACATCACTGTGCTGGTCAGCACTGGAAGCACAGTGCCCGACACCTAATAAATGCTTGTTGATTGACCTGACTTGGCTCAATGCTCCAGGGGCCCCGGCCTTCTTGATGCACCCACACATGATGCTCTAGCCATAGCGGTCTCCCTGCCTGGAAAGCTCTCCCTCCCTCCCTCTGACTCCCAGCTTCCCTGGTTTCCTGCAAGGCTCTGCACCAACCCCCCTGCCTTCTGAGATCAGCTTCTAATGACACTGTAGATATCTTCCTGTCTCCTTGCTTAGGCTGGGAGCTCCATAACAGCAGGGACTGTTGGGGCCTTTCTTTGCATCCCCAGCACTTGGTACAGTCCCCAGCACACAGTAAGGGCTTAATAAATACTTGTTGACTCGACACCAATACTTGATACTAGAAACAGATTAGCTTTTAAAGATCATCTTTTCATGATTTTTTTTTAAACTGAGTTAAGAACTAAAGCTCACAGACTTGGAGGAGAAAGGACCACCAGAGGTCACCTACCGTAGCCCTTCATTTCAAGAGACGCTGCCCACCTGGAGGGCAGGGACCCGTTTTCTAGTTTGTGCTCATAACCCCAGCCCAAAGCACCCAGCATAAGAAATCTAGTTGAACTGAATTGACAATTAAGGCCTGAAGAGGCCGGCCCCAAGTCAGACAGTGGGCACTGTGTAGAGGCCAGGAATCCAGGGCCTCTGCCTCCAAATCTAGGTCACTTTCCGCTGAAGGAGTGGTCCTCCGACAGACAAATTTTAACTGAACCACCATCACAAGCACGTAACTCTGTGCTGGTTGCTTTTTGTCTTGGTTTTCTCTCAGAATTACTAGAGCATCTGCACAGGTGATATCTGTAAGAGTATTATGTGAAGCCATGAGTTCCCTCCAAAGACTGAGACTGGGCACATTAAACATCATTCAAAACTAAATGCTCTTGATGTGTTTTCACAGAAACCAGCAACCATAAGAAACAAGATCCAGGCAGATAAGCCCCATAAGGGATCCATAACAACTGATTCCAGATACGTTCTGCCCATGTGAGCCAGCAAGAGCGACACCAAGGCCCAGGAAGGAACGTTTCTCCAAGCAAGAATGGCAGACTGGTAAAGAAGAAAGAAGCCTCATATCCGTGGCAATATTTAATATGTCCAGCATATTTTAAAACAGTAGAAATGACAGTGCTTCCCATCTATTTGATGCAATATTGGAATGTTTACTGGTTTTAACCCTGAAGAATGCAGCAAAATAACCCACAGACCCATTCTACAGAGGTACCTGACCATGGGAACCAAAAAAACGAAACTGAAGGCTGCAGATGGGAATGCAACCCAAAGAGCGAGTGTTCTGGAGCCAGGAGCCCCAGGCTCTGGTCCTGGGGACCAGCTCGAAGCCCCTGATCCCATGAAGGGGCTTGTCCAAGACCACACAGGTGGGAAGAAGCCGAGCTGGGACTGGAACTGGGCCTCGTTCCGTACTTGTCTGCTGTTCATAAGCCGCAAGCAAAGAAGAGACACCCTCAGACCCTTGCCAGGCCAGTGACCTCATTTCTAGGGCATGCCATCCTTCCTCTGCCTCCAAACAATGCAATGTGCTAGTGGGATGAAGGCAGAAAAGACGGACTGGCCAAGCAGTCAGTCCTCCGTAGGAGGCTGACAGACTGCACTGTTTTCACCAGGCTCAGTTTGAACAAAAAGAAAGCTATGCTAACGATATTAAGTGTTCTGAAAGCACCAGGTTCTTTTTTTTTTTTTAAATGGAAGGCATATAAACCAGGTGCTTCATGGTCTGCTGACAACAATCTTGTTTTCTCCAGTGAGAAAAAATTAAAATGCAAAACCAGGTATTTGCAAAATGCTTTTGTTAGAACAGAAGCATTTATCATAAACCTATCTGGTGTTTTCATGGAGACACATGAACCACTGGATAGAAACAGAAAAGGTTTCAACCTAAAATCATGAGCATACCCAACTGCTTTTCCTTTGAGGTATTCACTGTGCCAAATTTTAGAGACTAAAAAACATACTCCCATGTGGCCCCACACATACAAACAAGCCTGACCCAAATGGCCACATTCCAAAACTTCAAGTCTTAAAAGGATCACCTAAAAAAATAAGATGCACCCTCACAAATACGTTTACCAGTATAAACACAGTGTAAGGCAGCAAGGTAGAGTGGAGGGATAGGGATTACTGGCCTCTTAAGATCTGGGTTCAAGTCCTACCTTTGATACATATTGACTATGACCCTGGGCAAGTCACTTAACCTCTTGGTACCCAAATGCAGCTCCAACTAAACACTGCAGGGCAGTAGCCTAACTGCACCAATGAAATCTCCAGTCCAAACAGAGAGAGGAGGGGGAAGGGAAAGAGAGAGAGAGGAGGGGGAGGTAAATAGAGAGACAGACAGAAAGAGAACCATTTGATTTTATAGAAGGGGGAGATATTGGGTAAACAAAGCAAGATTTTTCATTTTAAAATCAAGCCTAGGCTTCCCAAGACTGGCTGTGATCTCTAGAAAGTCAGGGGATGACAATGACTATAATTTACCCTGCAAAACCTGTTTGTAAGCATAAGATCATGACATTATTTTAGGCAGATGGAAAGTGACTAGCCAAGCTGAGTAGCAAATCACCCATGACAATTGTATTCTTATCAATCAGGCATGTTAGGATGACCTCACCCATGAGTTAAACACACCTGCCACAACTTAATCTGTAGCCTCCCTCCCTTTTCTTCTCGGTCTCAGAAAGAGATGCTTCATTCCCAAAATGGGACATAATCACAAACAATGAGATGTGACCATTCCAAAGACTGTATGTGAAATGCAAGGGGTAAGATTAGAGGAGACAATGTCACTGGGAAGGAAGTGTGTCTACTCTCTTTCCTAGGAGACCAAAACTGGTCCTCCAAGTCAGACATAACAAACAGTAAAAACCTGGAAAGAAAAAGAGAAACTGAGGAAGGGGTTGGGGGGAGAGGGACACCCAAGGAGTAGAGAGAAAGAAGAAGGAGGAAAATTCATCAGTCAACAAGCATCACACATCACAAATACAAAGTTTGAGCCTGGCATAGTCACATCAAAGCAAAAGGTCGAACCAAAGCTACACACAAACTACTAAGCACCTTGGGCCGCCCTCATTGTCTAGGATGTCTAGAAAAAACCAGGCAGGCGGACACAAATGGGAGGGGAGGAGAGAGAGGGCTTCAAAGGGAGCAGAGGGGCTGCAGGCAGGCAGCTGAGGGGAGGGAGCGGCAGGAGGAGGCAGGGGACAAGGACAGAAAGAAAAGAGGACAGGGCAGAAGGAGAAGGGAGTTGAGGAGGTAGGAGAGGTCCAAGGCAGAAGCTGGAGGAGAGGGAAAGAAACAAAAGAGTTGATGGGATGTGAGTGGTGTGAAGGATGACTGAAATTCGCCTCCCAAGGCCTTCAAGTTGAAGGAGCTGGTGAGCTGGGCGCTAGGAAATGGGGGGCCGGGAGGGGGATCTTCGGGTTTTTCCCTAAGCCCCCAAGCCTGGCAGTCTGGCATCCCTGGGTGCGGGGGCCCTGAAGGTCAGACACCCCCAAGGCACGGGCTGCCCTCCACCTTGCTCTGCCAGCATTCCTCCCCAAACGCGCAGAAGCTACTCAGGGTCTCTCCCAGAGCTCTCGCCCCGGATCCTGCAGCAGGGAAGCTCTGCCCGATGCCTCGCCCCTATCGAGGAACCTTCCCGGGCATCCTCAGGAGCCCCCAGCCTGCCTTGCCACCTCTTAAAAGTTGCGAGTTTGGGAAGAAACTCGGGGCTCGCTCTGCTCCCTGAGGGGGTCCTTCCAAGGGCAGGGGATGGGGAAAGAACGTATGTTGGCCCGTCCGGTCCTCAGCCCATCCACTGGCCTCGGAACCGCCTCCGGCCGAGCAAGCCGTCCTCGTATCCCTCGACACAGAAAGCCCGGGTGCGCCCAGATCGGGGACTAGGGAACAGGGGACAGGGGACGGGAGCCCGCGGTCGTTTACACTGAACGTTTCGATCATCCTTGCAAACACAGGCACAGCCAGCCCGCTTTAGCTGGGGGGTCTCATCCTCCAGCACCGGCTAAACTAAGTCGAATAAAAATCCCCAGGTTGACGAGTAGCTCCTGGGCTCGGGTCCTCACCCCAAAAGCTCGGGTTCAAACTCTATTCCCCCCCGAGGGTAAAGCGTCCTGGGACGTCGCCCCAGCTGCTTTCGGCCACTCAAGTTCCTGCTGATATTTTCCGGGTTCTGGCCATCACCGTGCGCCTTCCCCAGTCCCCAGCGCCCCATGTCTCACCCACTCACTCACTCACACACACACTCTTGCCCAAACTCCCCAGGAAAGCTTACCTCGCCGCCGTGCCCGTCGAAGATGCCGAAGATGGACGGGTGGGTCTTGTTGACCAGGTCGGTCAGAACCTCGAAGCGATCCTCCATGTGGTCCCTCCGGCCCTGGATGGAGTAGACCGCCACGTTGTGGCTCTTGAATTCCCACGTCTTGGAGAACTCGGCCTCGAGCACGTCTAGCCCCCCGAGCCGGTCATTCTGCATGATCTCGGCCACCTTGCCCTTCACCATCTTCACGGCGTCCCGGCTGGACTTGACGATGGTCTTCACCTCGTCCGTGTGGAAGAAGTAACTCCACAGGGCCAGGCTGATGCAGAGCAGGAAGAGGGTCTCCGGTCTCAGCAAAAAGTAACGCATGATGCGACCCAGCAGAGACAGCAAAGTCATCGTATCCTCTATCATTTATTATGGCTAAAGCCCCAACCTCGACCGAGGCGCACCCCCGAAGGCTCCTCCGGTCCTAGAGCATTGCAGGGGAGGGGGACAAGGGGAGGAGGGGTGGAGTGGAGGACGAGTGGAGAGATGGAGGAGGAGGAGAGGAAGAGGGGAGGAGTGGAGGGAGAGGAGGGGGAGGAGAGATGGAGAGAGAGGAAGAGAAGGAGGGAGGGAGAAAGAGAAGGAGGGATGGAGAGAGAAGAGGAGAGGAAGAGGGGAGGAG